CTGGATAACAGTCATTTTTCAGGAATGTATTGTGAATATTTTCACTTAGTGTGTGGATTTTCTTGTTATTTTCTTGATGGCATTTTACAAGCAGCAGAAGTTTCTAATGTTGATCAATTCTAATCAATCAAATTTTATTTATAGTTTGGACTTTTTATGTCCCAAGAAATCTTTGCTTACCTAATGTTCACAAACATTTCCTCCTATAATACAAATTTTATTCTAGAATAAGTTTTATAGTTCTAGAGTTTACATTGTCTGTACCCCATTTTAACTGGTCATTGAGGTATGGTCTGAGGGCCAAAGTTCATTCTATTCCCTGAAGTAAATATCCAGTTGTTTGGGCCCCAGCTGTTCAAAGACTATTGTTTACTTGTGGAACGACCTTGGCAACTTTGTCAAATATCAAATGGAGATATACATGTGGGTCTGTTTTTGGATTCTTTATTCTGTCGATTGGTTAATGTATCTGTGAAACACTTCTAACATACTGTATTGGTTTGGTAGCTTGAATAAGTCTTGAAATAATGTAGTATAATTCCTCCGATTTTCTTCTTTTAAAAAATTATTTGGGATACAATTTTTAAATTTGAATATAAACTTTAGTATCAGCTTGTAAGTTTTTATCAAGAAATACTGCTGGCTTTTAATGGAAATGGTGTTGAATCTATAGGTCAGTTTGGGGTGAATTGACATTTTAAGTATCTTGAGTCTTTCAATCTATAAATAGTACCTCTCTCCATTGCTTTAGGGCTTCTTTAACTTTTCTCATCAGTGTGTTACAGTTTTCCATGTATATTTTGTTAAATTTACCTCTAAGAATTTCATGTTCTCATGCTATCGTAAGTGGTATTTTAAAATTTTAATTTGCTATGTGTTTGTTGCTCATATATAGAATCACAATTTTAAAAACTGGCCTTGTTTCTTGTGAGCATGCAAAATTCATTTGTCACTTTTACTAGTTATATTGTAGATTCCTTAGGATTTTATATGTACATAATTATGTTGTCTGTGAATGAAGATGATTTTGACTTCTCTTTCCCCAACTGTTTGCTATTGTTTTCCTCCCCTCGTTGCTCTGGCTAGGATCTTCAGTGCAATGTTGAATGGATCAGCAAGAGTTGCCATCCTTCCCTTTTCCCTAATCTTGGAGGGAAACATTTATTTTTCTTCACCATTGTCTGTGATATTAAATGGTTTTTAAAATTGGTTTGCTTGTTTAGATGAGCAATTCGGGAAGTTTCCTATACTCCTAGTTCACTGGGTGTTTTATCTTAAGTGAACACTGATATTTTTCAAATATTTTCAACATTCCGATGACCATATAACTTTTCTCCTTCATTCTGTTAATACAGTGAACTACACTGATTAATTTTAGAGTGTTGAATTAATCTTGTATTCCTGGAATCAACTCCATTTGGTCATACTATATTATCCTTTTTTTTTTTTTTTTTTGAGACAGAGTCTCCCTCTGTTACCATGCTGGAGTACAGTGGTGTGATCTTGGCTGACTGCACCCTCCACCTCTCAGGTTCAAGCAATTCTCCTGCCTCAGCCTTCCGAGTAGCTGGGGCTACAAATGTGCACTACTATGCCCAGCTAATTTTTGTATTTTTAGTAGAAACAGGGTTTCACCATGTTGGCCAGGATGGTCTCGATCTCTTGACCTTGTGATCTGCCTGCCTTGGCCTCCCAAATGTTATCTTTTTTATATGTTGCTAGATTCAATTGCCATTTTGTTGAAGATGTTTGTATCTGTCTGGAGGAAGGAAGGTCTTTGTCTAATATTCACGAATGCATCTACAGGCTGGCAGTACCCCTGAGACAAGAGAGAGTGAAAAGGTATGAAGAGAATTAACTTTTACCCTGCGCCCTTATACTGTATCCTATTGTTTGAGGTTTTGCACAAAGCATGTATTTCTTTTATAATAACTACAAAGATTCATTTTTTCCAAGTAGCCATCGTGGCAGAGCATTAGAAGCTACTGCAGGTTTCTGTTCAGGGTCTGAGGAAAATGAAGCCAGCAGACCACTGAAACAGCTGGGGCAGAAGTGTGCACAGGAGAGCGTTCCAGGATGCACAGCAAGGCTGGGAGCAGAGAGAGGGCTTGGGGACCCCTAATAGCAGGGTCTTGCTTTGCCTATTTAGCCTGGAAATTTCCTAAGAGATAGAAGAACATTTTCTTAAATTCATGACCTTGACAGAGGTTGATCTGGGGTCAAACAGGTACAGGGTGTTCAAGAAAGATTATCAGAAAATTTTAAGAAGGTGATGTCTTTCGCTAGAATCCCAGACTTGCCTGAAAAGGAGGAGGAAAAAGAATAGTGGAGATTGTACAGTTATGTTCTGTCTCGGCCTGGGCACCCACCCTCCTGCTGTCACTTTTGTCACAGTTAATCTCTTTGACCTTGGCCTGTCCTCTTGCCCTGTTCCCACTCTTCCCCTTCTGGTTTTCTGTGACTCCCACTAAGACCTTCTCTTTCTCAAATCTCTCCTGTGAGGCTAGTGAGGCTCCCATCTCATCTCTGTTAAGACTGCCCTCTCCTTGCTTCCTCTCCTCCCCTGAAACCTGCTCAAAGTTCACTACCCCCAAGCTGGGGTCCCAATTCATGTCTCCTCAGCATTTATGGATCCAACTCCAAATTTCTGTGTTGAGCTCTTGAATCAGCTGGTCTTGGTTCAAATTCTGTTTCTACTTCTTAACCAGTTGCGTCATTTGGGCAAAGCGCTTAATCTTTTAAACCTTAGTTTCCAGTTCTAAAAAAATGAAGATAATCACAGCGGCTGCCTCATAGTGCTGTTGTCAGGATTAAAGGACATTGTCTTTGTAAAGCACTTACCGCAGCTGGGAAATAATAAATCAGGCAATACGTGATCCACGTGCTGTTGCTGATGCTGCTGCTGGGAAAAGATGTGGACTTAAACATTTATCTTTGTAAACTTTCAGTGGCAAAAGCTAACATTTATTTCCATCCCTCTGAACAGTACAAGGTCAGGGGTCATTATCACTCTGTTTAACAGATAACAAAGCTGAAGCTGAAAAGTCCACAGTCTTAAAATCAGGAAATGGTAGAGCTGGCATTGGAAGCCACAGCTGTGGATCTTGCATTTCACTTAATTTCCACCATATACCCTACTCTGTGTTTCTCCTTGGCCTGATTCTGTTCCCAGTGGCTGGGTTAGGGGTATTCAGACAATGGGTGGGACCACCTGGCAGGACCCAGCTGAGCAGGGAAGGTACAGGATCGCAGCGTGGGAAGACACCTCTGCTTCTCGCCTGGGTCCAGAGAAGGAGACCAACCGAGAGAGGTCGTTGGGCCCTGCCAGGCACATGTGTCATCTCACAGGTGACTTAACAGTTGTGCGGGCTCAGGAGAAAGAAGAGAAGTAGGGGCCCAAGACAAGAGTAGTCCGCATTTCTCTGGCCTGGATAAGAGGTATACAGAGAAGCCTGAGCCCAGAATATTCTCTCAGGCAGTTGGCTAAATAATTACAGAATGACCAAAAGAAGGACCCAATGTTCTCGACCTGCTTGAATGTTGAATTTTTTTTTAATTTCCATAGGATTTTGAGGAACAGGTGGTATTTGGTTACACGAATACATTCTTCAGTGGTGATTTGTGACATTTTGGTGCGCCCATCACCCAAGCAGTATACACTGAACCTGATTTGTAGTCCTTTATCCCCTGCCCCCTTCCCATTCTTTTCCCCCGGTTCCTCAAAGTCCACTGTGTCATTCTCATGCCTTTGCATCCTCATAGCTTAGCTCCCACTTATGAGTAAGAACACAGGATGCTTGGTTTTTCATTCCTGAGTTACTTCATGTAGAATAATAGCCTCCAATCCCATCCAGGTTGCTGCAAATGTTGTTAATTCATTCCTTTTATGGCTCAGTAGGATTCCATCCTATATGTACACACCACAGTTTCTAAAAGAAGGGGCACTTCACCTCCCAGCAGAGGAATCTGAAGCCTTATGGGACTTGATTGCTTCTGTTGTAAAAATTATACATGCTCATTATTTTAATCTTTGAAAAATAGAGAGAGAAAAAATTTAAAACTCCACTGCTACATAAAACAACTACCGTTAACACTTTGATGTATTTCCTTTTTGTACATGCTTTTCTGAAGTATTTAGCCTCAGTCAGTTAAAAAAATTCTCTGCTCATCCTATATCTCCCAGTCTTGTCCTAGGCCTTCTTTTCTGTGCCTAGGATCTATTGGTCATACCGATTATTTGATTTTCAGGTTTCCTTTTTCCACTTAACATTAAAACGAATTTTTTGATTTGCATAGGCCCAGGATGTTTGTTAGCTATGTGATATTTCACTGGTGGACACAGTTCATTCCCAATCCCTTTTTGGACACTCGTTTTGGAAAAACATATACAGTATACTGTGTATATTTTTGGTCGGGAGGCAGAAGTAACTATCACCAGCTGTAGAGAATTCCATTGAGTATCTCTCTCTAAATCAGTTTCCGTTCCAGACAGTAGTTTCTAATTCATCAGTGTCTCTGTCCTAAAGCTTTAGGAAGATGTATCTCTGGTTTTCATATCACTCTGGCAGAAACTGAAAGTGTTGAAATACCAACAATCTCGGAAAACTCCCTATCCGAGAGCTTTTGGGCATGATCATACATGCTTCATATTGCCTAGGTCAGCAGATAGTTGATAGGTAGATCACAGTAAGAAAACCCTGCTAGCCAAGCAACAGTTACGAGACAGACTGTTCCCAAGGAGATGACTGCATTTATTTTCTTGTCACTTTTAGCATCAGGGGAGCCAAATCCATGAATGTGTGTTTGGCCCACTGCCAGCCCCAGGAGCGGTAGAAGGTGAGACCTCAGCATTCTGGCAGAGAAACATGAAGACACCTTCCCACCTCTCTGTGTCACTCACTGCCTTGGAGTCATAATGAGCAGGCAGGGCTATGCTTTGAGGTGTCAGAGCACAGGCTTTGGCAGTGGCTGGGCCATGCTGCCAGCAAGGTGGCAGAGAGGGGCAGCACAGCCTTGGCAGAGGCTGCCACTCTTATGGCACCAGCACAGAGGGGCATGAGGCCAAGTCTTCTGCCAAGGCTGTGCTAGACAGGCAGTTACAGCAGCAGGAGTCTCAGCCCTGTAGGGGAGAAAGAGCATCTCCACCATTGTAGCTGGAGGCTGGGACCCCAGAGGCAGACAGAGGCACTATCGAGGTGGACATTTTGGGATGGGACACCTCAGCAGGGAGGGCTTTGGTCTTGACAGTGGTTTTGGGGAGCATGGGTCTATAGGTTCTGTGGTCTGCCCTGGAGGCATCCTGGAGGTTGTAATAAACCAAAGCTTGTTGGAGTCTCTGGATGTGATGATTGACCCTGAGGTCCAGGAGGTAAAGCAGTAGGAGCAGGAGCACATCAGGAAACTCAACAAGTCAGAAAGCCAGAGGTGGATAACTCGAGGGACCTTCGGAAAAGCCCTGTCTGTCGTGATGGAAATGTAGCTGGTGGCTATGGTATTGCACAGTGTGGGTCCAGATTCTCTGAAGCCAATCACTTTAGTCCTAATCTCTAGAAACTGGCCCTGGTGAAAGGTGCACACTTTGTTTTTCATGTTCTCCAAGCCTTCCCAGGAGACTGTGTCTGAGCCTCAGCAAGTAATAGGGTTAAACTACATCTGTCAAAGTCTGTGGGAATTAACGCCATGACAGAATCACTTGTGACTCTTGCCAGGCCAACAGGGACATCTGAAGTCCACTATGGCTGCCCTCTGGGGCTGAGCCTTTCACCTTCCTATTTCCAGGTACAGTTCCTGGAGGAGCAGAACCAGGTGCTGCAAACCAAGTGGGAGCTGCTGTGGCAGCTGGATGTCAGCTCCTGGTGCACCACCAGCCCGGAGCTTATCTTCAAGGACTACATCAGCAACCTCGGGAGGAAGGTGGCCCAGGTCATGGTAGAAAAAACCAGGCAGCAAGTAGAGCTCAAGGACACTCAAGACTCAGTGGAAAAATACAAGAGGAAGTGAGTGAGCCTGGGGATTCTGGGACAGCTGGTATTCACTCCCAGATCTTGGTCTGAAAGAAGTACAATGGCAGAGAATTAGCCTCTCCTGCCAGGAATCTTTGGGATTGCTTTCTGTTTGTTTACTTCTTGTGACTCTATTTCTTGTGGATGTGCATTCAGGGGTATAAGAAATCCAGGGAAGAGGGACTATCTGCAGACATAACAGTCTTCTGTTTTTTTTTTTGAGACAAAGTGTCACTCTATCCCCCAGGCTGGAATAAGGTAGCACGATCCTGGCTCACTGCAACCTCCGCCTCCTGGATTCAAGCAATTCTCATGCCTCAGCCTCCTGAGTAGCAGAGATTACAAGCTCCTGCCACCACGCCCAGCTAATTTTTGTATTTTTAGTAGAGATGGGGTTTTACCATGTTGGTCATGCTGGTCTCGAACTCCTGACCTCAGGTGATCTGCCCGCCTCGGCCTCCCAAAGTGCTGAAATTATAGGCGTGAGCCATCGTGCCCAGCCAACGGTCTTCTTATCTACTACATCAGACCAGATATGAAGCAGAAATCAACAGCCGGGCAAATGCTGAGAATGACTTTGTTGTGGTGCTGAAGAAGGTGAGAGGCAGCTGGTCTTAATCCTAGTATCTTAATTCACTCTGCTCTGCCCTGGGCCTGGTTTCCTCAGCTGTAAATAATCCCTGGGCCCTGTTAACCTCACAGTCAGCAGTGGCCGAGGGCAAGCCTGTGAGAAACAGTGAGAATGAAGGCCTTTCCTTTTATTCTGGATTGAAGTCCTGTTTTTTCCGGATATCTCTGTAGAAGCCCACTCTGCTGGTTTTGAGATGGGAACTGACCTTCCCTCTGTGCTTGCCCTGTCTGTGCTACCCTCCCTCTGGCGTCCTGATGGTGCAGGTAGAAGTCTCCCAGCCCAACCCGAAGGGGCTCATTGCCTCCTTTCTCCCAGTATGTCGACAGCACTTGCTTGGTCCAGGTTAACGCCAGTGCTAAGGCGGATGCCCTGCAGCAGGAGGTTTAATTCTTCCAAGCCTTCTATTTGCCATAAGTTTGGAGTCCAAGCTCCCCGGGGGCCCTGGGATGCTTGGAGAACTGAGGAAGAAGGAGAAGGCTTGATGTGGCTCTGAGAGCCCCCAAAAGCGGGAGACTGAGTGTTTCCTGAGGAGTAATCCTTGCCCTGCTGCATAGGTGCTGGCCTGGGTGCAGCAGACCATCAGTGACACTAGCGTGGGACCCTCCATGGGCAGCAGCCAGCACCTGGACCTGGCAGCATCCTCTCTGAGGTCGAGGTGCAGTGAGAGAGGAGATTACTTGAAGGTGCGAGGCTGGGGCCAAGGCCAAGGCGCTGTACCAGACCAAAGTGAGGACTGAGAGAAGTGTTCCGCACTGGGTCATGCCCAGGGAAGTTGAAGGACCCCTCCCTCCACTAACAGGGGTTTGTGAAGCAGGCTCACTGGCCAGTGGTTACTACCTTGTCTGAGTCCAGCGAGACAGACCACACTCATACCCAACAAGTTACGGGAAAAAGGTTTTTTTACTTCCAGACAGCAAGGAACAACAGAAACCCAGGATTCAAGTTGAGCGGGTCCCCAAGCCTTAGAAAAGCTGTCCAGAGTGGAGGGAGTCATGTACCCGACTTGCACCACAGCTGAGAAACCCTGAAAAGCAGCCTGTCCAGAGCCTTATGCCCCAGGGGAATGTGATGCACTGGGCTAAAGCATTAAAGGACACTGTTTCCAGGGGAAAGCAGAACAGGCCCCAGCTGCTCTGGCCTGCACCCCTTTATCTCAGCATGGTGCATTTCTAGAACATCCTGCAGTTATTCCTGAGAACTACAAGTGAAAGAGCAGGGAGGGCCGGGTCAGTCCAAGGTCACCCAGAGAAATACCCTGTGTGCAGGCTTGACATCCTCCATTTTCCCCGTGTCTGGAAGATCGCCTGACTGCATACGTCTGATGAAAGGCTTCAGCTAGACCACTGGAAGTTATGAGGGCCCCTGTTTCCTGGGGTTTTGCTGGTCCTGGATCAGGGGAGCCATCTCAACTCTGCAGGCTCAGGTGCTCTGAGAAACACTGAGTGGCCCCCACACCAGTGCAGTCAGCTCCTCATTCCACACATCGTGGTGGCCAGTATTGCAACTCAGGCTGGCTTCCTTCTCCCTCCACTGGCTCCCCACTGCCTTCCCACCTCCACAGGGCAAGGAAGCCCATCTCTGGGAAGCCTGACGTTCCTAATACTCACCTGAGTAGAAAATGATTTAAGGTGGTTCTTTGGTAGAAATAATACTTCTAGGTCCACACATAAAATAGTGGGTGTCTTCCTCTCACTGAATCCACAGTGGATTGTTTATGTTACTGTCTCTTTCTTCAAGATCTGACTGGGACAGACCATTCTGTGTTATTGTTTAGGAAAAGGCTGGGTGATCTTTGGTAGTTACATAAGTGTGTTACATAGGAATGTTTTGTTTTCACAGCTAGACCATGTATTCCTAGCAGACAGGAATGTATCTCCTCTGTATGTTGCTTTTGGCCACAGTGAGCAGCCTGGGCAGGACATACAAGTCCTGGCTGACCAAAGCTTAGAGATCTGGGGTTAGGAGCCCTGCTTTTGCTCTTTCTGTGACACGTTTTCACTCTTGCTTCTCCCAATTCCAGTACCAGGAGCTCCAGGTCACTGCCAGGAGGAAGGGTGAGAACCTCAAAACCGTTAAGATGGAGGTCAATGAGCTGAACTAAGCCATCCAGAGACTTCAGGCGGAAATCACCAACCTCAGGAAACAGATGGGACCCCAACTCGACAGTGGTAGCCTTTGGAGGGGAGAGAGTGGGATTAAGATAGATTTTTTTCCTACTTGTCTATATTCTCAGGTTTTCCACAATAAATGGTGGTTATGAGGATGGAGAAGAGACAGGCACAGGTGGGTGTGGGAAGGTACCCGGTCTCCTGTGCTCCAGTCACTGCCTGCTGTTGGCCCTCGGCACAGTGCTGCCCTGCTAGACACCATCCTGGAGGCAGAGAAGATGGGCAGGATGCCATCTTCTCAGGGATGCCTAGGACAAGTGGGCTGAGTGGAGGCTGGACAGCTGCTCTGTAAGTATCAGGAGCTGGTGAGCATCAAGCTGGCCCTGGAGGGCCAGGCATGCAGGTAGGTCACCCAGAGGGGACAGGACAGGCAAGGGTCCTCACTGCACTCAGCCATGGTAGGCACTCTCTGTCAGCCCTCCCATCTGCATGATGGGCAATTAATTAACTCATTCACTCCTGAAATGCTGCTCAGGCTTCATTCAGCAGTGCTGTCTGGTCAGGGCCTTTGTCCCAGGTGCACATGATGAGCACTGATCCTGGCCCTGTGTGCTGCACTCCTTAACTCTCTGGAATTTCCCTCACTTGAACAAGAGGGAGAAGGGTGAGGATTTCCCTGCTGTTGTGAAAGGCTGGGAGAAAAGGTATAGTTTTCCTTGGTTTCACCTGCTCCAGGCATGGGTGCATTGGTCCTGGGCTGGGTAAGGGTAGAGGGGATGGAGGCTGAGGTTCTGGGAGAGTGTGAGTGCTTGTGCAAGTCTAGGAACAGTGGCCGTGCGCCGAGAACCAGCTCGGTCGGGAGACTCCCACCCAGGTGGGCTGAAGGTATTGAAGGGCAGACACCCAGATAGCCAACAGAGTGATCCATCTGGGAACCAACAGCCTGAGAGCCTGCAGGGCTGACAGCTCTCCAGGACTGAAGGCCCCCAGCAGAGATTCATCCACACATTAATTACTCTTTGACAGGTTATTCTTATTAATACACAGGTGCTCTACATATACACAGAACTCAGGAATGTATCAGGTAGGCAGCTGTTACCTGCCTACCACTACTTACAGACTAAAAGTAACTTCCACCGAGGGAGCCATGGGGGCAGTGTCCCATAAAGGAATGGTGGCCAGGGCCACCGACACCCAAAGGCCCACTGAGAGGGGTTTCCTGTGGGGCCTGGCATTTGGATGCATACGGAAGAAAAGGAAAAGAATTTGTTTTGACCCAAAAGTCCATCTCCAAACTGCCTTCAGTTCTGTGTAAGAAGGATATTCAGGGATGCAGAAGGGGTGTTGGGGTGCACAGAACTGTCTCTCCACAGCTGTGGTGTCAAGCACTGTCTCAGCTCCTGGGCAGCTGCGTCTGGTTTCTGCTCAGGGGACAGAGCCTTCCTGAGAGGGAGCACCATCCCCCGAGGATCTAGTGCAGCATCTGGGTCCATGTCCAGGGCTGTGAGGTCCTCAGGGGCTGGCTAGAGCTTCTGAGGATCAGACCTCAAGCTAGGAATCCTGGACACGCTGGTCCTGGCTTCAGAGGTGAGGAGTCCAGTTCAGTGAGAGTCCAGGGCTCCAGCTCAGGCCACAGAAGCCTGTGGGTCTCCCTCCCAGAGACTAAGCCTAATCTTCTGGCCCTGCTCTCTCCTGGCATCTGTCTGCCTGAGTATGCATACCTGCTCTGGCTCTGCCCCACCTTTTGGCCTTCTTTGGCAGTTTGGAGATGGACTTTTGGGTCAAAGCAAATTCTTTTCCTTTTCTCCCATATGCATCCAAACGCCAGGCCCCACAGGAAACCCCCTCTCAGTGGGCCTTTGGGTGTCGGTCACCTTCTCCCTTTCCTCTCCCGGCAGCCTCGTCGTGCGCTTAGCCCACACTGTCTCCTTCTACCGTGCAGAAGCCAGAGCTCCTCCCCTGTCTCCGGTCCTGAAGCAAGGGCGTGCATAAACACCTTTTGAAACATGATTCCTATCACTTCTCGGTTATCCACTTTAGTGGATGTCAGCCATGGCACTGATAACCTGCAACCATGTTCAGCAAGAAGTTGTTTTTACTTCATTTTGCAGGGCCCCATATGACCTATTCTGGGGCAGAGGGACTCTCTGCTTTCCATGGATTCATAGACCATGGGTGGCCATCAAAGGGAGGAGGAGTGAGGAAGATCTACGGGGACAGGGAGGGTGAAGGTGTGCCAGCCTGGCCCCACCCCATTTCCCGAGAAAGCCAGTGGATTATACACCTGGAGGGCAACCTGAGTGTGGGCTGGGTTCAGGTGTCTCCCCATCTGCCGGGATGAAGATAAAAACAGCAGAAGCAAATCCATCACAGAGGCCATACTTTGGCAGAGTCTAGTTTGAAATAACATCCAGTGCGACCTGCTGGGCTACGAGGGGTATGACTAGAGCCTTGGAACCCTCCAGTTTATGAAGGAGATCTTGCATCCTGTGTTTTGTTGTAAAGGGTTGCCCACTCCCACCTTACCCTCCCTCCCACACTTTTCCAGTAAATTTCAAGGGGAATTCATTCTGTTTGGAAACTTTTAAAATAATCACTAATCAGATCAGTTCTGAGTATTGTTCACTAACCCCAAATTGCCACTCTGCAAGGCACACATGTGCACACATGCACACATACACACACACATACATGCACATATGTTCATTCTCTGTTCTATCCTCGTTCAGCTATCTGTGCTCACAGGAGGGAACACTGGAAGGGGTGTTTTACCTGTTTGGTTTTGGAAGGTGGGCACAAAGGACCCTTGTTTCCTCTCTCTATTATGAAAGCTCAGCTTCCATTTTTACAGCAATAACTTTAGGTCTTGAGCCTTGCTTGGCAGCCAAGCTGGTGTTATTATTGGCTAATTTCGGGGTAATAGTGTTGCTAACATTATTGGTAAGAGGATTATTATCAGGTGACTAAATGGCCAGAGGCTGTGGAGTGGGAAAAGCAGCCTGGGGGCTCAGGTCATGAGGGCAGCTCTCCTGTTTTGTCTCCTGCTTTGCTCCTGCTTTGCTCGGGAGGCGGTTTCCAGTCCACACTGCACTCAAGAGTCCAGACTGTTGTATTGGAAGGCAGGTCTCATCAGTTCCCTGTTGTGAGCTCTGTTTTGAGCAGCAAGGGGAGGAAGATAGCCAGGGATAATGGGGCACAGGTCCTGCCTTCGAGCCACTCCTATGCTTCTGAAGAGGCAGCATGCATTCATTCAACAACCATGTATGTGCCAGATTCTATTCCCAACACTAATACAAGAGGGTGACCAAGACCTCTGTCTACTGGGAAGCAGGTAAGTGAATGTGCTGAGTATAGTGAGACAGATGCTGTCTTGGGAAGAGCATCTCAGGAACAAGAGACCCAGATTAGGAGAAGGGAGACTTCCTTGATAAGGAGCCCTCAAAGCTGAAACCTGAAACCTGCAGGATGTATTTAGAGGTATATTGTTTAGTTAATAAGTGTTTGGATAGATCCCATTGTCTTTCCTTTGTTTATATTCAGTTTTATTTATTTTGGTTACAGAACATACTCTGTATGGTGTAAGTTATTTTCCACTTGTTAAGGTTGATTTTATATCCCAGAATGTGGCCTATCTGGGTGAATGTCCTGTGGGCACTTGAGCAGAATATTTATTCTGCTTTTATTAGGTGGAATGTCTTGTAAATATCAACTGACCCTGCTGGTTGATGGTACTGTTGAGCTCTCTCACACCCTTGGTAGTAGTCTCGCCAACTGTTCTGCTGACTGAGAAAGGAATGCTGGAGTCCCTAACTGCAATTGTGCATTTGTCTATGGAGTGTTTTAGTTCCATCAGTCTTTCATCTACATATTTGCAACTCTTTTGTTTGGGTTATAAACATTAGGAATGTCTTCTTACCAGGTCACTATTCTTCTTATGAAGAATTGGTCTTAGTGAATTGGTCTTTTTAAATTATATAATCTCTCTCTCTGTCTCAATTTTCTTTTTTTCTTTTTGCTTTGAAGTATACTTTATCTGATGTTAACCTAGCCACTTACATTTGAGATGAGTTTTCTGTAGATAGCATATAGTTGGTTCATGTTTTAAAATACACTCTGTTAATCTCTTTTAATTGGCATATTGAGACCATTTATATTTAATATAACTCTTGATATACAAGGGTTTAAGCTGCCATTTAAATTTTTGTTTTCTAATTGTTCTCTTTTTCCCATTTGTGTTTTTCTCCTAACTTCCTATTGGTGACTTGAACATTTTTAAGAATCTATTTTGGTTTATGTATTGTGTCTTTTAGTAAATGCCCTTGTATATCATTTTCAGTGGTGCTATTTTATTATATATGCCTAACTTATCACAGTCTGCTCCTATCATTATTTTACCAGTTGAAGAACCCTTACCTCTTTATATCCCCTTACCCTCTCTCATTTATAATTTACCCTCTCTCATTTATAATATAATTTCTTAAATATTTCATCTAAATACATTTAGAGTGGTATCAGAGAGTGTTAGAATTTTTGCCTCAACCATCAAACGTAATTTATAGGAAATTCCAGAGAAGGAAAGTCTGTTGCATTAACTTATTTTTAATAAATTATCATGTTCTTTCCTCCTTCATAATGTTTCAAGTTGTCTTCTTTTATCGTTTTCTTTCTGTTTAGAGAACTTACTTTAGCCATTCTTTTAGGGTAGATCTGCTGGAAGCACATGTGTAGTTTTTCTTCATGTGAGAATGTTTTCATTTTCTCTTCATTCCTGAAGGATATTTTTACTGGGCATCGAATTCTGTATCAACAGTTCTTTGCTTTCAGCACTGGAAAACTATGCCACCCCCTGCTCGCCTCCAGAGTTTCTGATGAGAAATCTTCTGTCATTCAAATTTTTTCCCTAAAGGTAAAGCATTGTTTGTCTTTGGCTGCTTTCAGGATTTGTCTCTGTCGTTTTCAGAATTCTGACTATAATATATCCTGGTATGAATTTCTTTGGGTTTATCCTCTTTTGAGTTTGCTCAGCTTCCTAAATCTGTGCGTTTTATACCTTTTGCCAAATGTGGGGAATTTTTTTTCTTATTTCCTTGAGCTCTCTTTCAGCAATCCTTGTTTTCCTTTCCTTCTGAACCCAGTGACTTGAACGTTAGACCTTTTGTTATAGTCTCCCTGATCCTGAGACTTGGTTCATTTTATTCTTCTTCAGTCTATTGTTCAGTTCTCCCTATTATTCAGATTGGGTAATTTTTATTGTCCTCTCTTCCAGTTCACTGATTCTTTCCTCTGGCCTTTTATGCTGCTGTTAAGTGTATCCACTGAGGTTTTTATTTTGGCAATTGAATTTCTCAGTTCTGAAACTTCCATTTAAAGACCAGAAGCTGATGGATGTGGGTCCGATCACAATCAGTGATGACTTGTTCATCCCCCACTTCCCTTTGCCCTCATGTGGAAAGAGGAGCTGGGACGGTGCCAAGCAGCATGGAGTGAAAGGGAGAGAAGCGGGAGGGAAGGCCTCATCTCTGCATGTTTATATATAACCCCAGGGAAGACACAGAGACTTGTACTTGCGCTATTCGTGCAGCCACCGCCTCTGGGCCCTCCCAGCACATGCATGGTCTCTTCACTGCCACCCTCGAGTTCCATGTTTCCTTCCTCTGCCCCTAGTGGCTGTCTCCGCTGCTCTCCCATAGTTGGTTATTTTTTATTTGGGGCAGTGGGCATGTATGGGGTGGGGGTTCTTCCCAGACTCAGGTCCCAGCTATTTATTCTGTGTCCCCTTCTCCAATGAAACAAGCAAGTCAGGTGTGGTTTAAAAAATAATAAAAAATAAATAAAACTTCCATTTAGTTCTTCTTGTTTTTTAACTTCTTCATTGAAACCTTCTAATTTTGCATCTTTCAGCATGTTCTTCGCTGCTCATTTAAGCATGTTTATTGTGGCTGCTTTGAAACCTTTGTCAGGTAAGTTTAACAACTTCGTCATCTAGGTATTGGCATCTGTCAGTCATCTTTTTTTACAATTCAGTTTGAAGGCTTCCTTGTTCTTGGCATAACAAGTGATTTAAAAAAATTTTGGACATTTTGGTATTCTTATAAGATTCTGGATATTGTTTAAGTCTTCTGCTTTGGCTGCCTTCTTCTGACATTGCCTTTGCAGGGGAAAAGAGTGTGGATGCTACCTTGTTATTGCCAGGCGTTGGTGGAAGTCTGGGCTCCCCACATGGCTTCCATTGGCACCAAGTGGGTCAGGCACTTGTCACCTCCTGGTGGGGATAAAGTCCTAGCTCCTTTCTCGGACTTCCCTGATTCCACCTAACTGCTGGGGGAGGCGGCAGTTGGGGCAGTCGGGTCTAGGCCTCCCACTCAGCTTTTGCTGAGGTGGATGTGGGTGAGGCCATAATTTTTCTATAGTGTTGAGATAGGATAGAGTGATTATTCTCTATAAGTTTCCTGTCTTGCTAGGCTGCCCCTTTCCTGATGATTTGGCTAGAGAGATCAGGCTTTTGTTAGGTCTTTAAAAATCTGAGCCTTTCCAGATTCCTGCCTTCTTCTGCCCCAAGTCTGGAATATAGGAGACAAATAGAAAACCTAGAGAACTCACCATCATGCCTTTCACTGGATCCTGAGGTCCCTGTTGGTGTGCCTTCTTCTCTACCTTTCAGAGTCTTCTTCCATCTGTGAAGAAGGGAAGAGCATGTCTATTTCATCTTTCTGGATGTGGAATATCCACATGTGGAATACTGACTTCACAATATTTATTTGATTGCCCCTGGGACTGATGGGAAGCTGCTTTCCTCTCTCACTCTCTCTCTCTCTCTCTTTTCCTTGAAATCACCAGAAACTCTTGCCCTAATGTCTGGGCAAAGACTAATGGCAAGACAGCCCCTCTGTGGGAAGTGGGACTGACTTGGTAATCGAGTTCATCTGGCATCGAGTTTCCAATGGTGAGGGCAATAGAAGGATGTGAAATACAAGGACTCACTGTATGAAAGCCCACTTGGAGGAGTTTTAACAACAGGTGCTAGGGATACTGTTCTTAGGGAGAAGGATTTCAAAGGGCACCTAATAGTTTTTTAGCCCAGTCCATGACTGCCTGAGAGTCCTTTGCCACTGGAGTTCTGGGAAGTGAGTAGAGAGGACCAAAGGGAGGATAGGACCTGGGTCTGGTCCTCAGGAAAATTTCCGGCCATCAGGAAATATTGACATACCTCCTGAACACAGGTAGAGACATCAAATTAGAAGAGACAATTGATATAATAGATGCTGTTGTTTGGACAACAGGCAACATATGGGAGGCTGGCAAGAGAGGAGTGGTTGGATTAGGACAAGTGAACAGACAAGGTTTTCAGGGGTGCCTCTGTGGTAGATTCACAAGACGAGAAGACCAGGGAGGGAAGGGAAGGGAAAATCTTAAGGAGAGGGGCTGTTTGCTCGTAAGTCCTCCCATGCCACATTGCAGAGTTGGCATTCACAGCATGAATGCCATTGGGGGTCATCTCAAGGCCTGTGACATGCAGCAGTTCATAGTTTTGGTGAGACATGGGTCTGAATCACCTCCACCCCAATGCTGGTGTGCCAAAATGAGCCAATTAGGGAGTGATTCTGGCCAGAATACTCAGCATCCTCATCACAATGCATCACAGTGCAGTTTTGTTGATCTTCTTTGTGCCTTACAAAGAAACTTACAAAGGAATAGAAACTTTGGGCTAGGGGTGGTGGCTCACGCCTGTAATCCCAGCACTTTGGGAGGCTGAGGTGGGCAGATCACCTGAGGTCAGGAGTTTGAGACCAGCCTGACCAACATGGAGAAACTCTGTCCCTACTAAAAATACAAAATTAACCAGGTGTGGTGGTGCATGCCAGTAATCCCAGCTACTCGGGAGGCGGAGGCAGGAGAATTGCTTGAACCTGGCAGGTGGAGGTTGCCGTGAGCCGAGATCATGCCACTGCACTCCAGCCTGGGCAACGAGTGAAACTAGGTCTCAAAAACAAAAAAACTTTGTGTTAGCTAAAAAAGATTAAAGGATTGCCAAGTGGCAGTACCTTTAGTGAAACTGAAGACATCTAAGAAAATGATTATTCTTAACTAGAAGACAACTGTTTTGTATAAAAAAGAGGGGAGGCTGAATTCGGCAACTGGTTAGTACAACAGTTTTAGGGGCACACCATGACCTCTGTACAGAAATAGAAAAGAGGGATGGGCCAACCGTTCATTCAGGTATTCTGGCCAGTGAAATACTTGTGTTTTTATGGAGGAAATGATATACTATGAATACATTTGGGAATTGGGAATTCTTGGGTCACGTGTTTTGGCAATGTCAAGGATCCATGAAATCCCGGTGTCTGCCTTACCATCTCCAGATTTGGGAGCTAGGTTTGGTCTTCTTAATTCAGGACCCAAGAGCCTAGCACAGTGCCTGGGAGAGTCAGCCCTCAACAGAAGTCTGCTAAATGAACGGATAAATGAGTGAATAAGTTGACAGCTGGCTGGCTGCTGGCTAGATGGATGGATCAATGAATAAGGCTTGCATAGCTCTGAATGTGGAGTCAGAAGACCAGCCAAGGGAGTCCTCAAGGCTGGGGCCTGTGCTTTTTCAGGGCATTTTCAATTCTCTGGCATTCACACAAAGAAAGGACTCACTAACTGTTTGCTAAAAAGGAACGACATCCTCAATTATCTGAGCCTTGGTTTCCCCGTTTGTGTGATGTGGATCATCACTACTCCCCTCCAGGCAGACGAAGTAGGTGAAATGAGCATCTTGGGTGAGGGGCTCTTTTACACTGGAAAGTGCTGCACCAGTGTCAGCCATCGTGAATGGTGGCAATGACCATTATTTCAAGGTCAAGAGTTGGGGTAGTGGGATGGTAAGGGGACAAAGAAGTCAGTGTATGCAAAGGAAGGTGAGCAGGGCAGCCTGGCTGTCTCAGAGGAGCAGGAGAGCTGCCTGGGAGGGCACAGCAGAGGCGTGGCAGCCAGAGACAGGGCTTGGGTTCCCAGTGTGCTCCTCTCCTAAGGATCCTGGGAAGCCAGGCAGCAGGAGTCTCTTCCTAACCACATAAAAGCAGCTCAGCCAGGGTCCCTGAAGCAGCCCATCTGATGCTGGCAGGGCTGTGAGATTTCTCACAGATGGCACTGTCAATTAAAGTCTCCCCTCTGTACCCCTACAATCCCAGCCCCACCACTCCCTGGGCAACAGCAGTTGAGACCGTGACAAACCTCCCACCCAGGATCTTTCTATGGATAATGTGGCCAGGCTAATTACCCATGTTCATTAGATAAAGCGCAAATTACATGAGCAAGACTTACAAGACTAGCACTTTGGGAGTTTTCAAGTTATTTATCTGGTGTCTGATTTTGCTAGGAGAAAATGATTTCTTGCTCCCAGGCAAACTGAACCCACAATTTAGGCCAGTGGCTCCCTCCTGAGTCTTATAAAGTGGGAGCCCAGGATCACAGGCTGGTGAACTGCATCTCAGCTGAGGGTTGGCATCTTATCCCCACATTCTGCTTCCCCACCATGAGCCGCCAATTCACCTACAAGTCGGGAGCTGTTGCCAAGGGGGGCTTCAGTGGCTGCTCAGCTGTGCTCTCAGGGGGCAGCTCGTCCTCCTACCGGGCAGCGGGCAAAGGGCTCAGTGGGGGCTTCAGCAGTCGGAGCCTCTACAGCCTGGGGGGTCCCCGGAGCATCTCTTTCAATGTGGCCAGTGGCAGTGGGTGGGCAGGAGGCTATGGATTTGGCCGAGGCCGGGCCAGTGGCTTTGCTGGCAGCATGTTTGGCAATGTGGCCCTAGGGTCCATGTGTCCATCAGTGTGCCCGCCTGGGGGTATCCATCAGGTCACCATCAACAAGAGCCTCCTGGCTCCCCTCAACGTGGAATTGGACCCTGAAATCCAGAAAGTGCGCGCCCAGGAGCGGGAGCAGATCAAGGTGCTGAACAACAAGTTCGCCTCCTTCATTGACAAGGTGGGTCTTTCTGGAGAAAGCTGATCTCGGGATCCCCCTTTCATGAACTCAGGAGGGAGCCACTGCCCTAATTTGTGGGTTCAGTTTGCCTGAGAGCAAGAAATCATTTTCTCCCAGCAAAATCAGATGCCAGGTAAATAACATGAAAGCCCCCCAGGTGCTAGGCTTGCAAGACTTGCTCATGTCAGAGAGCCCCTTCCTTCCCCCATCTTCATTGTCCTTGAGGCACTCCCTGTCTGAAGCAGAGAAAGGCAAGAGACCTTCCCAGGATGCAGACATAGCCCAGGGAGGAACTGGACAAAGCCCGGACATCGGAGCCAAGGGACCAGGGTCAGAGGGGTGAGAGGAGTCAGCAGCCTAGTCCAGGATGGTGTCCAGGAGGTGGAGAGAGAGTGGTCTCTGAGTTGGGAAGTAGGAGAGTGACAGCCTGGGAGACTAAGAAGCCAGGCAAAGGAGACGCCCTTGACAGCCTGGGGTGTCCAGACTGCCATGTGACCCAGCACTTCTTCCTGTGTCCCCTGCCAGCTCAGACAGTCTGTAACACACGCAGCCTGTGAGGCAAGGCAGCTGGAGGTCATGGTGCACTAGAGCAGTGGTTCTCAAGAGTGGCCCTGGAACCAGCAGCTGCAATGTCACCTGGATACTTGTTAGAATGCTCATTCTCAGGCTCCACCCCAGAGCAACTGAATCAGAAACTGTGGTGGGGCCCAGCACCCTGCATTTTAACAATCCCACCAGGTGATGCTAATGTCCACTCAGGTTTGAGAACCACTGAGGAACAAAGTGGTAGGAAGGTCTTGGGAAGCAGAGACTCCCTAAGCTTAGGGGAGCAGGAGAAGCTTACCAGGAGTGACAGTGAGGTAGGGTGGTGAGGCATGAGTAGGAGTTTTCAGATGGAGGTGGGGAAAAGGCAAGCTAGGGAGAGAGCATGTGCAGCGTGGTAGAACTTGTCTGGGAAATGGGAGACCTTGGGTTTATAATATCATTGTGTGAATGATGAAGGAAGCCAGCAGGGCTGGGCACATTGTGAAGTACGTGATAAGGAATGTGAACTTGATCCTGAGGGTGAAGGTTTTAAGCAAGAGAATACTATATTTGTAGGTTGCAACTTGAGAATGCTTGTTCTGCTGCTGAGGCAATGCTCTGATTGAGATATTGAGACATGGAAAAGAGAGATCCGGACATGGAAAAAACTTAGGAGTGCTGGAGACTGCAGATACGCTGAGCATCTGCCTCTGGCTGGGCTAGCAGAGCCCATGCGCAAGGAGGGAGAGAAAAGGCAGAGCATGGGCCAGACCACCAGACCCCAAGCAGAGGGTCCTACAGTGTGAAGGCTAGCACAGGCCAGCTTGTGTCTCTGGAGCTGCCTTGGAGAGGTGGCCTAGGCTGAAGATGGACATCGGCCCAGGCAGGCTTGGATAAGTGCAGAGACAGGAAATCTATATCTTGATAGTTGGAGAGGGAAGTGAAGATGTTGGTGCCCCTCCTGACCTTAGGGACTGCCTCAGATTGAGAACTTCAGTCAGATAGAGGACCCTAGGTGAGGAGTGGGGGTGTGAGTGGCATGCATGGCAGTTTTTAAGGGCTGAGGCACATTTCTAAAGCTAATGTAGCATAAGAGAACACAGTTCCTGTCTAGGAAGGAAATCTCACCTCCCCTCTCTGCATTGCTTAAGTATCTGTGGCATGGGTTCCAGGTGCGGTTCCTGGAGCAACAGAACCAGGTGCTGGAGACCAAGTGGGAGCTGCTGCAGCAGCTGGATCTGAACAACTGCAAGAACAACTTGGAGCCCATCCTCGAGGGCTACATCAGCAACCTGCGGAAGCAGCTGGAGACGCTGTCCGGGGACAGGGTGAGGCTGGACTCGGAGCTGAGGAGCGTGCGTGAAGTGGTGGAGGACTACAAGAAGAGGTGAGCAGGATGCCGCTCCAAGCTGGCCTGCCTCCCGGGGTGAGGCTTTCCCAGTGGGCACTGGGACGTTTGCCTCTGGCCTTGGAGGTACTGAGTTCATCTGATCTGGCAAGATGAGAGCCTTCTATGGGCAACGAGGCAGACTGGACAGTGGACAGCCAGCCTCTCTGGCAGTGTCAGGGCTGTCCTGGCAGGTGATCCCCTCTTTGGCATGCTCCTTCCTGCTTCCCACTCAAGAGAGCCTGTGTTGTGTGTGCCACAACCTCTGGGCTCCTAAGCTCACCACTGTGCCCCTGAGTTCCAAAGAACCACCCCCTTTTTCCCCCACTGGCTGCTCTCTACAGTGGGGAAGGAGTTGGAGTTACTGTTGGGTTTCCTCCCTCATTGCCTTTAGGTCCTGGACACTTGGGCCATGTGCCTTCTTTTTCCCCGGGGGATAGTTCTGGCTTCCGTGGGACCCCTGCCTAGGGATGGAGGGGAGTTGTTGGTAGGGTGTCAGGCAGCAGGATTGACAGAAGAATCATGGCTGAAAGGGACATCTGGCATGCTTCTGTGATTCAGATACTGAGTGGGAAGAGGAAGAACCTATTCACTCCTCAGGCATCAGAGGAAATCAGACCTCAAACCACCCAGGCTACTTCATAACCCAGTCTGCAACTCTGGCCAAAGAGTCCTGGAGTATTTGGATGCGCTTGCAAAGGTGTAGACTAATGCCTCTTAAAGGCATATAATATGAGTATTTCTTTTCTCATCTCACTATGAGGATGTATACACACACACACACACACACACACACACACACACACACACACACACGCCCTGCTCATTGTCATGCTTTCACTGCAGGTATGAAGAAGAAATAAACAAGCGCACAACTGCTGAGAATGAATTTGTGGTGCTAAAAAAGGTGAGGAGGGTGCATGGGTGGCCTCCAGTCCCCAGCAGTGGGTGCCAGAGTAAGACAGAGGAGCGACTGAGGTCTGTATTGCCTGGAGCCCACATGCTGAAGGAGGAGATGCAGGGCTTGCTACTTGGAACATCTTGGGACACCTAGGTGTTGGTTTTGCACACAGTACTTTGTCTGTGGGCAGGGACCTAGACATGGATGGTCAGTCCAAGCTCACGTCCTCTTTGGCTGGGTAACAGGACAGGCTTTGGGAGGGGCTGCAGGTTTGCCTTCCAACTCTGCTAGTTTCTGGCAAATCGCCATGGCTGCCCTTGGCTCCCTCTGTTGGCTGAATGGCCGGCTGAGTGGGGTATGGAGCGCCACACCCTCTCTGAGAAGTAGAGGCAGAAGGCGTTCCAGAGGCATGAGAAACTGGCCCCAGGTTTTGCGGTGAGTCTGACAGTGAGTTGTGGCTGGAAGGCAGGTACCTGCCTCTTGGATCTCAAGTCCATTTGTGGGCAGCTATCGAGGGCAGGCCCTGCGGGTGTCAGTTCACTGGAGAGGCCTGTCTGGGCTTGAAGAAGGTGAGGTCGGGGGTATCTGGATTCTCCACAGGACGTGGATGCGGCATACATGAGCAAAGTGGAGCTCCAGGCCAAGGTGGATGCCCTGGATGGAGAAATCAAGTTTTTCAAGTGCCTGTACGAGGGGGTAAGGCTCCCTCTGCCCCAACTCCGGCTCTGTCTTCTGGAAGGACAGATACGTGATGAACAGTTTCTTACTTATCAGTAACTTCAGCAGTCCAGGGCACCTCCAGCACTGGAGTGCTAGAAATTTGTAGACCAAAGGTGGGAGTGGCCATCTATCCCTGGGAGTGCCCCATCCATCCCTGACTGCTCTGTGGATGTCCTGCTTTCATTTCCTTCAGGAAACCAGAGTCCTCAGGGGTTTCTACTGAACTTCAGCCAAGCCTATTCTCATTCCTGCTTCTATTCTCTCTGTGGGTGGGGATGTTTCCTGGGGTCTTGGGCAGGAATCCCCAGGATAGAGGTAGGAAGTCCTCATACCCTTTCTATCTTCTCTATGCTCATCTGGTTTCAAGCCTCAACCTATTGGCCAAGCACTCAAGAGAGGCTGTGTTGTGTGTGCCACAGCCTCTTGGCTCCTGTTTCAGGGGACAGACGTATGGGCTGTTTTCTTCCTGAGCTGCTTCAAACCCACTCAGCAGTTTTCAGATGTGGTATTGGAATCTCTGGGCTGTGAGCTCTGTTCTTACAAGCTTTGGGGAGTGCAGCTGACATCTGTGTGGGATGGTCTAGGGCCATCCCTCTGGGACAGAGCCATCTCCTTGGCACCTTTCTCTGGTCACAGAAGGCGTTTCGTGCTTCCTCGTTTCCCCTGCAGGAGATCGCTCAGATCCAGTCCCACATCAGCGACACGTCCATCATCCTGTCCATGGACAACAACAGGAACCTGGACCTGGACAGCATCATTGCTGAGGTCCGCGCCCAGTACGAGGAGATCGCCCGAAAGAGCAAGGCCGAGGCCGAGGCCCTGTACCAGACCAAGGTGAGGCTGCACAACTCCTAGAGTCACGTGTGCAGGGCCCTCTGCTCCAGACTCTGTCTTGTCTACCCCATGACCCACTGTGGTGGCTCACAGCTTTCTAAGAGCACAGCACTGTCCTGGGCACTGGGGGAAGCCAGAAGGGAAGAGAAGACACAGCTCTGTCCTTGGGCCCCAATCAGATGGACGGTACCCCTGGAGGATGCACTCAGCTGAGTGCAGGTGAATGTGGTGCAGAGTCCAGATCGAGGAACTAGCACCAGGTGGGGCAGGTCAGAAACAACTTCCTGGAGATGGAGAGTTCTGTCTGGAGGGGAGGGGCAACGTGAGTAGTTAGCATCTCAACTCCCTTGCTAATTATTCTAAATGAGGGGGTCTCTTCAGTGTGATCTGGAATCAAGTAACTTCTACCTTTTCATTCAAGTACAACTCCAAGGATAAAGAAGTTTGAGTCCTCAGATCTTAACTCCCCTAATGGTAGAGAGTGGGAAGTGATTCTTTAGATAATTTGGTTTCTCAGATCACATGGCAACTTCCTAATTGTTCCTTGCTGTTTGTCAGGCTCTTTCTCAAGGGAATCCACACTCTCCGGAGATCTTATCCCTCTCCCTGCCTCCTTGTGGGGGAGGAGGGAGGCTTTCAAGCTCTAGGAAACATAGGCTAGGGTTTCTTGGTAAGGGTTCAAACTCGACTCCTTGGTCTCCAAAGCCTTCCACATTACTGTTGCAAGCTAGGGTCAGGAATGGCCAGAATCATGAGTATTGTGATTGCTGATTTTGATGATTCCCTTTTAAAGATGAAGAAGGTAGGGCCCGGGGAGTTCAAGCTGCTTATCAAAGGCAGTAGCGGGCAAGTGACGTAGCTAGATCGGAATCTGGGTAACTGACTTCAAATTCCACTGCGTTTAGGCAGAAAATCAGGTGACTCTGGGGAAGAAGCATTTACTCCGAGGGATTTATGTGGCTTGAGAGAGGAATGGCAGGAGGAGGCTCACCTGTTTGTCTCAGAATGAGGCTGCTTGGTGTCAGAACCAGCGTGTGGGGAGGCATCCTGCTCAGAGTCTTGCAGAGAAGTGGGAGAAGACCCCTTGTTCAGGGTTGGCACCAAAGATAAAACACAAGGACTGAAGAGAGAAGCCCCTGTGTCTTCTCTGCCTTGGAGGACTTGGCATCTTTAGGAACAATCCTCACTCTCGGGCCATGCTGCGGTGGAGCGCCCAGGAACAGAGGCAGAGCAGTACGTCACCTCCAGAGTGTGGAAGGTTTTCAGTTTCATGTTCCCCTTGAGCTGCATTCTGAGTAGAAGCGAAGTACTCTTTGTAACTGTTTAATAGATGACATCGAAGGCAGAAATAATCCCAAATTAGTAGATGACCCAAAATTCATGGCTAGTGGTATTGGGGTAGAGCTGAATCCACCCCCATCATACACACAAAATATTCCTCCATGCTAATCTGTCCCTCCATCCCAGCCCAGCAAAACTGCCTGTTGGCTGGGGCCCAGCTAAGCTATCAAGGGGAGGGTGTCACAGAAGATACAGATGGACAGCTCATTGGCTCACTCATTCATTCATTAGACTTTTTTTGAGCACCAACCAGGCACCGTGCTAGGTATGGGAAATTCAAAATTAAAAGAAAAAGTCCCTGCCATCTATTCATTTTGAGTCTGATAGAGAAAACATGGAAACATGGGTTCATAGAACAGCACAGTGTGGGGAGACCTATGGACTGGTGTGCCAGGAGCAATGGAATAGAATTACACCCAATTGGGACATCATGGAAGGCCTCACAGAGGAAGTGACTCTGCATTGGTTAAGTTGGAGCTAGCTAGGTAAAAAGGAGGATGGATGGGAAAGAGTTTTTCACATCAGGGGAGAGGCTCAGGCAAAGACTCAGAGACCTGAGGGCATGTGGGACATCTGGGGGAACTGTGGGACTGTTGGGCCCATCAAGGGCAGAGAGAAATGTGCCCCTGGATGCCATGTAAGAGTTTGAATTTGACCATGACTTTGAAGGACGATAGGCAGAGGAACGCCATAATTGAGTTGTGTGTTCTAAAGTTGCATGCGGAGAGTATAAGATATTCAACAGTCCCTATGGCCAATTCTAACCATCCATGAGCTCAGCCGTGCTTAAGACAAGCAAATGCAATGGATCAATGCTTGAATGGGAGGCTGCTGATAGACTTGGCGTAGCAGAGGACCTGAACCCACCTCTGCCAGGCTCTGCAAGTGCAGGCACAGTGTCTGCAGCAGGCTGAGCCCAGCCAGGCCCTGATTCAGTGTCTTTGCTTTTGTTCCTTTTCCTCTAGTTTCAGGAGCTGCAGCTGGCAGCTGGCCAGCACGGGGATGACCTGAAACACACCAAAAATGAGATCTCAGAGCTGACCCGTCTCATGCAGAGGTTGCGCTCGGAGATTGAGAGTGTGAAGAAGCAGGTGAAGGGGGCTAGAGCATTCCTTACTCACTCCTGAGAGGGATAAACTGCTTAGAACCTCTGCCCCCTCCTTCTCCTGAGCCTCCATCTCAGAACCCCCTTCCTCACACAGAGGCCCTGTTCTCATCCCCGACCCTTGGCTCCCATCTGAAGTTGGGAACAATTGCAGATTCTTTTCATAAAGCTGTGGGGCCCAGTGTAACAAGCCCCCTGGTCCCAGGATGACGGGATTCCGCCTGGATGTGGCTGGGTCTCTGCTCTAGGACATGGGGCAGGACAGAGGAGGGCTCAACCCACCTCTCACCAATGGGAGAGGTAAGGTGAGGCCCAGGGAGGAACTCAGGGGGAAATGCTACCTCCTGACCCCAGTGCGCCAACCTGGAGACGGCCATCGCCGACGCCGAGCAGCGGGGGGACTGTGCCCTCAAAGATGCCAGGGCCAAGCTGGATGAGCTGGAGGGCGCCCTGCAGCAGGCCAAGGAAGAGCTGGCACGGATGCTGCGTGAGTACCAGGAGCTTTTGAGCGTGAAGCTGGCCCTGGACATCGAAATCGCCACCTACCGCAAGCTGCTGGAGGGCGAGGAGTGCAGGTGACTGGGACCCAGGGACTGGAAGAAAGTTTACAAGTCTCCAACTCAGAGTTTCCCAGAGTGTGTTTGGATGGCGCAGGGCTGGAGATGTGTTTAATTCACCCACAAACAATTTCAAACAGTATCCAGCCAGATAATGTGACAGCAGTTTCCTTTACCGTTCTCGTGACTCTGGAGAAAGCCTTGGCTGGGGGCTGTCGTGTCTTTACCACCTCTTAGACACGTGCAAATCTCCCCTATTGATAAAAAGACAGTAGAGCCCAGGTGCAGAATCTCTGGGAAGATAATAGCAGTATCTGGCCCCAAAGTTTTAAATTGTTTTATTTTTGTTATATTTATTTTCTGCTACTTTTTTTTCTTATTTGGTTAGGTAATAATATTGGTTTTCTATTTACCCTGGTGATATAAATCTTCTTTTTAAAAGAAATGCACTTTTGTCATAAAAGGCAGAGTCAACTGAAAATACTAAATATCTAACAGTGCAAGTCAGACGTGGTCCTAGCAACACTTGGAAGGGTGGCAAGCAAAGCTCGCACATTTGAAAAACGTTGTTTTAACCTAGCACCATTTTATAAGTGAGACCTGGAGAGAAGGCACTGGTCCCAAAATCATACAGTTAGTTCATTAGTAGCAACTCCTGATCCTGATCTTTCCACACTAAGTTTATTCAGGCAGCTGCTTCATAGAAGTAAAGAAATGGGTTCAAGAGAAACCCAGCAGGAGGGACGCTGGAGGTGGTAATGTTGCTGGGGGTTCCAAAGTTGCGGGTTCCACATGTCTGCAGTGGGAAGAGTAGATTAAGGAGGGAGAGGGAGGGTTTAGAGACATGCAGCGGCAGCCAGTGCCATCTGGCCAGGGCAGGGTGTATGGAGGCTGAGCCCATCTGGTTGGGGAACCCGCCTGTGTTTTGACAATGAGAGTCACTATGGGAGTGCATGTGATTCAGACTCTCCTGTGCTTTTCTCTCTTGCAGGATGTCTGGAGAATACACCAACTCTGTGAGCATTTGTGAGTATTTCATGACACTGAGGGAATGCTTTTAGTCCATCAACAAACATAAAGTGGGTGGGTGTCTGCTACCCGGCCTCCTGGGGAACAGCCTGGCTCTGCCTGTTGTTGACTCTGTCACCTTCCTTGCTGAGACCTGCGGCCTCCCCATTCAGAGCTGCTGCTTTCAGGTGGAGTCAGTGCCCAGCACATTCTGACTTTGCACACTGGCCTCTTCTGCAGCAATCTCCCCATGCTGTGGTGAAGCTCTCAGCCCCTCCCCTCTTCTGTCACCCCCACTCCGGCTTTCCTGCATCAAGGAAACAGCACAAGTCGTGCCTCCTCACTGGGAACTGAGACCACTGTGCAAGTCAGTTGAATGCTGGCCCCACAGGGCGTGGCAGTCTCCTTCTCATAGTGGGGCCAGCAAAAACTCCCCTAATTTTAACAATCAGGAAGTTCTTTTGACAAATACTCAGAAGGTACTGTAAAGCTAAATGCAAGAATCTGCTGGCTTATCTGATGTTCCAGCATCATCTGTCCCTTGGGGGAAGCCCTTGCTACTCCTGTTTATTCATAGAATGACAAGGCGCCTGACTTGGGAGTCTTTTGGGATTGGGGCTGTTCTTCCCATGAGTTGCTCATAAGAACCCAAGTTCACGGTTGATGTGAAGTATTTGCTTAAGAAGGAGACATTTAAGCTAGTGGGGCCTGGGAAGCGGGAGGGGCCTTGGGGTCACCTCTGTCGGAGGATACACACTGATCACTCTTCCCTCCCTCCTCCACAGCGGTCATCAACAGCTCCATGGCTGGGGCGGCAGGCACAGGGGCTGGCTTTGGATTCAGCAATGCTGGCGCCTATGGCTACTGGCCCAGCTCTGTCAGCGGAGGCTACAGCATGCTCCCTGGGGGCTGTGTCACTGGCAGTGGGAACTGCAGCCCCCGTGGGGAAGCCAGGACCAGGCTGGGGAGTGCAAGTGAATTCAAGGACTCCCAGGGAAAGACCTTAGCTCTCAGCTCACCCACCAAGAAAACCATGAGATAAAAGTGAAGGCCCATTTCCCAGTAGTCTGCCTTACTCCGGCAGACTACTCCAGACTCCTCTAGGAAATTCCTCTGTCTCGTTTGTCCTCATCTCCTTCTTGCTTTGCTTCGCCATGGACCTCTCTCGCTTCTCCTTGACCTCTCTGCCTCAGTCTTTGTTAATGCTGAATCAGGATTCGAGAGCTGGAGCCTATCTTTCTGCCTCCATCCAAAGAGACCTCTTCACTCAGCCTCCCCTTCTGGAGGAAGACTTGGCCCTTTCTCTGCCTGCATGTCCCTGTGCAGAGGAAGGCTGTCTCTCAAGGATAAAACCCCAGTCTTCCTGTGCTGCTCTTTCATACCCTGTCTCAGTAACTATTTGGCCATTTGCTCCCTGGGTACACAAGGTTTCAGATCTACTGAGAGACTTGCAAGAACTGTCTCATGTTAGAGCAGCACCGGCTCAGGCAAAACACCTGGGGGGAGGTTGTATCTTGCATAGCCACTGCATATTACATAGCTGGGAGTATCCCTTGAGGCCAATCCTATCAATCAACGGATTTGTGCTCTTCATCTGTGAGTACTTGTCCTTGTTTAGGCCTCACCTCCCTGCTCCCACGTCTTACCAATAAACTTATAAAACCCATGTGGGGTCAGGCTGCTTCTCTCTCCTAAGGGAGTCCTCATCTCAGTCCGTGTCTCTTCTGCATATGGAGCGGTCAATGAATGGGAGCCTCAGGCATCTAAAGTCTCGAAGTACATTTCGATCTGAGTGATAGAGGCCCTACCCAGCCTGGGGGAATCTCACTAGCACCTTCTAAGTCATGCTTTTCTCAGGCCAATGCTCCAGTGAATGGGGGATCTCTATGGGTTATTAACAGGGAGAAGCAGCCCACACTTGCCTGGTGTCAAGACTTAAAACTGGTCAAGAGGCAGCAGAAGGCCAGTTCTAGATAGCCTGGGGTTGAGTTAGGATGGCTCCATCTCCCCTAAGAAAAGGCCCAAAGGTAGACTCCTCTTTGAAGTAACATGTTCTCTTGGTTCTTGCTAAAGTTCCCATGGAGTTGAGCACGGATGTTTATATATAGGTGTATATATATGAGTTTATTTACATATGTATGAATATGTGTGTGCTTATGTGTATGTGTTTAAGAATGGGGCCATCTCTGTTACACACACAACTGCAGATTCTTTTCATAAAGCTGTGGGGTCCAGCATAACAAGCCTCTCAGTCCCAGGTTGACAGGACTCCACCTGGATGTGGCGGGGTCTCTGCTCTAGGAGGACATGGAGCAGGACAGAGGAGGGTTCAACCACTGTGAGCAGGGGAGAGGTGAGGTGAGGCCCAGGGAGGAATTCAGGGGGAAATGTTTGTTTTGAAAATGCTCAGAGATTTCTCATAGATCCCTGGGCCACGATGATGCCATCAGGATGCAACAGGATGCAAACGCGAGTGGGAAGCTGGCACACATGCGGTTTGGGGCTCCCACGTTGCATCTGAACAGGTCTCTGTGGTTCCTGGGAGGGTCCTAGACTTCAAGTCAATAGCTGCGAATTCAGATTTAGACTTTGCAACTAAGTAGCAATAACGAAGGAAGCTCTCCATCTTCTCGAACCTTATTTCATTAACTATAAAACAGGAAGAATAATGTCCCTGAATTGTCGTTAAGCTAAAATGAGACGGCGCGAGGATATCTTGTGCAATTGCTGGCACAAAGTTGATGCTTAATAAATGTTATTGGAAACTAAAGCATGTCCTCCATATTTTTGGTTTGACTTAATTAGCTCGCTGAAAGAGGTGTACAGCTGCAGATAAAGCAGTTCAAAAATCCAAACTGAGGAGACCATCTCACGAATTACAGCACAAGCTTAATTCCCGAAGGAGAACTGATTGGCGGAATAATTAGTCTCAGGACTATATTCTTAGGGCCAGTGAAGAAAGTCAGTTCGACAAACATTCATTAAGCATATTTCATGTCTGGCATATGCTAGTGCCGGGGATACAGTGATGAAGGAATCTTGTCCATGCACCTAATAGATGCATAACCGTCAAACACATAACTGTAACATGGTGAGGTGTCAGCAACAAAAGAAGACACAGAGGCAGCCTAGAGGAGAGAGAGGAGCTCACAGAGGAGGCAATATATGTAGAGGTTTTAGAGGATGGATAGGAATTTACTAGGTGGACAAGAGGAGGAAGTGGGCTTTGTAGCCAGAGGCACCAGCATGGTACAAATGGTACAGATAGGTGATTGTTGCTGGAGTGTGAAGTGTGAGGACGGAGGAGGCTCAGTAGGTGGAGAGGGAGGGTGCAGTGGTGTCCAGGCAGGCAGCCGGCGCGTAAGACAGGCCCTTCATGCAGGCTAAGAGCTGAGATTTTATCCTGTAGAGCCTGAGGAAGAAGTTAACCTTGGGTGTCAGATGGAATCTAAGTCAGAAGGACTTTGCCACTTACCAGTTGTGTAACTTAGGCAAGATACTTCTGCTCCATAAGCCTCAGTTTTCTCATCCCTAAAAAGGGGTTAATAATCAGAGTTACCTTATAGAGTTGTTATGAGAATTTAATGAAATAATGTATGAGAATTATTTAGTTCATGTCTAGCACATAGTAAGTGCTCCATAAATGGGGCCCCTATCATTTTTAGGTATAGACTATTCTTTCAGGAAACTTCATTTCTGATTCTAGAATCAGCTTCCCTCCCCTTTCATCTCTAGTTGTTTTTTGAAAAACTAAAAGCATTATATGCTCATATTAGAAAATTCAGAAATATTAAAAAGTGGAAAAAAACACTTATAAAACAGAAATATTAAAAAATATAAAAATATTAAAAAAACAGAAATATTAAAAAGTGGAAAAACCCCACTGACACTGCCCCATTCACAAGCCCACCTCTCAGCCACCACGTGTAAAAAACATTAAGTTTTGTGTTACCCTTTGGTATTGCAGAAAGTATCATGTTTTTCTGTTATTATGGTTTATTATCATCCCTCTGTCCATTTATCCATCTACCATCCATCCATTTATTTGTTTAATAGACTATTTATTAGAACAGTTTTAGGTTTACAGCAAAATATAGTGGAGGGTACTTGGGTTTTTCATGTACCTCTGACCCCTACACATGCATAGCCTTCTCCCTTATCAACATCTCCCACCAGAGGGGTACATTTGTTACAAGTAATGAACTTACACTGATGCAGCATTATCACCCCAAGTCCATGGTTTACGCTGGGGTTCACCGGGAAGTCTGTGGGTTTGGACAAATGTATAATGACATGTAGCCATCATTATGATACTATACAGAATAGTTCACTGCTCTAAAATTGCTCTAGCACTAAGCATGTTAATGGGCCTAGAAAGTCCTGCAATGTGATGCGTGCTTAATTTTTTTTAAAACCCAGCACAGAGTCCATTCCCATATTTTTTCCCATGATACCTATTAACTTGCCAAGAACTAGTGTTGCGGGCCAAAGGAGATCCAGTTTAACTAGCAATGCATTTGCAATTCCTGGCCTAGAGTGGTTTCATCCATCTTTTGTAGTAGACATCTGTCTTCAAAGGACAAGGCTCCTGGTCTAGTTTACTAATTCAGGGGTTGCTTTAACCCAAGAACTAATGACAGAGGTGGTCACCAGGGCCTGAGGTGACACTGTAAGCTGCTGTCAGAGGTAGAGGCAACTCCTTCTCCCAGGCCTCAGCCCCCTTTGACCTGCTGACATCCCCCCACATCTGAGGCCTTTGAAATCTGCATGTGTCACTTCCATCTCTTCATGATCTATAATAAAGGTGATTCAGGGGTTGAAGAATCCCTTATTCATCCAGCTGGTCAACCCCTCTTGGGAAGATAAGAAAAGGTCATCTTACCTGTTCCTTAACCCCAGGCAGAAGAGCCCTGGTCCCAGGATATCTCAATTCCTTAGAAAATTTCTAGGAAAAAAAAAAAAAGATTTCAAAGACACCTTTTGTAAGCCAATCCTATGTAAAAATTATTCTCTTTCAATGTAATCCATTCCTTGCTTTTCTATTCTCAATGGACGGAATAAATAAATTCATTTTTGTGCTTGTGGAAAAAAACTGGCTAAATTTATGGGGCAGAGGAAAAATCTCGTGTAATAATGAAAAGGATAATTTTGATCTTCTTGAAGGGTCTGCTGGTCACCTAGCCACAATGATACTGCCCCTCTCCTCTCCAGAGGGAATGGACTACAGCCCCTCCTCTGAGGCAGCACTGAGAGCCCACTGTCTCTCCCACCTAGGACACCCAGACGCCGCTATCTGTTCATCTGTGATTGGCGCCATCTCCGCTGCTTAACAATGCCCCCACAATTTTGTTCCCTGTGGGGTAAATGCTGTGGCTGTTATTATGTCCTGTCCTTGGCCCAGTGGAGGCTGTGTCAGCCAATCACCCCCAGATACCATTTAGCCATCCCATGAGGTCCCCAAGGGGAGCCCAGCCTTCAGGGTATCACTGACAGCACAGTTAGGAGCCTTTCCCTAAGCCCTCTGCTGTTTCACAATCATCCTGAATGTCCCTGGAGCCAAGACCTGGGCTGAGCACTGGGGGAGCAGGGGACAAAAGGGTGAGTCCAGGGATCCTGTCAATCCGATAGAGGAAATGGAACACACATCCACGACTCGGACAGCTTGAGAAATAAGAGCAATGAAACAATTCCACCTGCATGCCAGAGGAATAGGAGGGCTGCTGCTAAGAGAGGAAGAGACTTCAAGGCAACTTAAGTTTGAGAAAGTGGAATCGGGTTAGATTGAAGAAGGATCCTCTGCAGCTTCAAGGGAATGAAGTAGCTTCAAGGGAATTAAGTTCCAGAATCTAGTTCTTGGTTTAGATCTGAAGGGTCTTGACCTGTTCCTAATAACTTGTCACATTTTGATGCTGAATTAGAAACCACACGGTTGCAAATGACCTGAGCAGAGGTTTCCTGGATTGGATGAATGAGCTTCTTCTGCTAGTAAAAGAAAACAAAAATGAAAACAACCCAAAACCTTAGGACATATCATCTGCTAAACCATGCCTAAGCCTTCCTGTGCCACCTCCCCAGGCCTTCTTCCCTCTCTCCCATTCTTAATCCAGAAATGCTTTCATGGAGAAACCTTTTCACTCTGGTCCGGAGTCAACCCCCAATACTTGTACCAGAGTGCTCTGTGTCCTGCCTCCCCCAGGAGACTGAGAGGTCTCTGCAGATGGGGCCAAAATCTCCTCCTTCTCAACTTCCTTCTTGCACACAGGACAGAGCTTGTCCTCATGCAGAAGCCTGGGAGGCAGGAGGACAGGCTAAGAATGATTTTCTGGAATATTCTTGACCCTATTCATGGTCTTCTGAAGCAGAGCCAGCCTGGACATCTGCTTCACACACCTCCGTCTCCCCAGACACACACCCAGAGGGGCCAGACCCATTGGAAGCTTCCAGGGGCGATCTTGGGGGTGATAACCCCAGTAATTGGAGGGCAGCAGGTGGAGATAAGGGATAATGCAGGAGGTGAGCCAAGTAAATGCTGGGTTCTGGGTCACTTTACAGGGATTCATGAGGAGTTCGCGGTGGAACAGACAAAAATCTTGGTGAGTGGATGGTAATTTCCTACATGAAGAACCCAAGAGGCCTCGAGGGATCTAAAATGTGTTTTCGACGTAC